TCAGAACCAGTAGCGCTCAAAGTAGGGTAAGGCCACTGTTTCTTCACTTTTGATAAAATTGTGGCTTTTCTTCTCCCCTTTAATTCCATATGCATATTCCATGGTGGTCCAGCAGCGGTTTAACATGTAGCTTCTTTATGTATCTTTATTGAAAGTGGGAGATAAGTTTATCAGTATAGTGTTCAGTAGCCTTTGTTCCCTGCTTGGTTTTTATTGTTGAATGAGGTTTTATAAAGTGCTACCAACCATGCCATTTTCTATATTTTCGACTCTATGTAAATTTTTGCAGAGAGGTAGGGAGAGCAAATGAAAGATTGACACTGGTATCTCCTGAAATGTTCCCTGTTCTTTTTAAGCAGCTTGATTTTCCTTATAGCATTGCCAAAAACCTAACAGATGATGTTTTCAGGATCAGAGACAGGAGATTGAAATGTTGCTAATGTCTGTAGCACTTAAGTCATAGAATTCTGTAAAGAAATGTGCCATGATTGATCTGATTAATCTTTTAGATGGGTAGTGAGAGAGAACGAAACTTCTCCATCATGCTAAAGTTTTATATTTATATAACTGCATTTTAGGCACTGAGCTTAGGTGTCCTTGTAATGTTCTGACATGGATGACTTGTACTGTGCAGTTTCAGTTGAATTGACATCTTCCTTTCTGCCACAGCTTTCTACATTGGCCTTGCTGTTACAGAACCGTTTTTAACAGCTCTCTCCTGTGAGCAAAGTCCTATGGGATCGTTTGGGAAACGTAAACCAATGTGGCAGACAGATCATAGAATCATAGAATCGATAGGGTTGGAAAGGACCTTAAGATCATCTAGTTCCAACCCCCCTGCCGTGGGCAGGGACACCTTACGCTAAATCATATCACCCAAGGCCTCGTCCAACCTGGCCTTGAACACTGCCAGGGTTGGAGCATTCACAACCTCCCTGGGCAACCCATTCCAGTGCCTCACCACCCTAACAGGAAAGAATTTCCTCCTTATATCCAACCTAAACTTCCCCTGTTTGAGTTTTAACCCGTTACCCCTTGTCCTGTCACTACAGTCCCTAATGAAGAGTCCCTCCCCAGCATCTCTATAGGCCCCCTTCAGATACTGGAAGGCTGCTATGAGGTCTCCACACAGCCTTCTCTTCTCCAGGCTGAACAGCCCCAACTTTCTCAGCCTGTCTTCATACGGGAGGTGCTCCAGTCCCCTGATCATCCTCGTGGCCCTTCTCTGGACTTGTTCCAACAGTTTCGTGTCCTTTTTATGTTGATGACACCAGAACTGCACACAATACTCCAGGTGAGGTCTCACAAGAGCAGAGTAGAGGGGCAGGATCACCTCCTTCGACCTGCTGGTCATGCTCCTTTTGATGCAGCCCAGGATACGGTTGGCTTTCTGGGCTGGGAGCACACACTGAAGCTGGCTCATGTTCATTTTCTCATCAATCAACACCCCCAAGTCCTTCTCTGCAGGGCTGCTCTGAATCTCTTTTCTGCCCAACCTGTAGCTGTGCCTGGGATTGCTCCAACCCAGGTGTAGGACCTTGCACTTGGCATGGTTAAACTTCATAAGGTTGGCATCAGCCCACCTCACAAGCGTGTCAAGGTCCCTCTGGATGGCATTCCTTCCCTCCAGCGTATCAACCGAACCACACAGCTGGGTGTCATCGGCAAAGTTGCTGAGGGCTCACTCAATCCCACTGTCCATGTCAGCGACAAAGATGTTGAACAAGATTGGTCCCAACACCGATCCCTGAGGGACACCACTCGTTACTGGTCTCCAGCTGGACACTGAACCATTGACCACAACTCTTTGTGTGTGTCCATCCAGCCAGTTCTTTATCCACCGAGTGGTCCATCCATCAAATTGATGTCTCTCCAATTTAGAGACAAGGATGTCGTGTGGGACAGTGTCGAATGCTTTGCACAAGTCCAGGTAGATGACATCAACTGCTCTACCCTTGTCCATCAGTTCTGTAGCCCCATCATAGAAGGCCACCAAATTGGTCAGGCAGGATTTCCCCTTAGTGAAGCCATGCTGGATGTCACCAAGCACCTTGTTGTTTTTCATGTGCCTTAGCATGCCTTCCAGGAGAATCTGCTCCAAGATTTTGCCAGGCACAGAGGTGAGACTGACTGGTCTGTAATTCCCCGGGTCATCCATTTCCCCCTTCTTGAAAATAGGGGCTATATTTCCCTTTTTCCAGTCATCGGGAACTTCACCTAACTGCCACGATTTCTCAAATATGATGGCCAGTGGCTTCGCAACTTCATTCACCAGCTCCTTCAGGACCCACAGATGGATCTCATCAGGTCCCATGGACTTGTGCACATTCAGATTTTTAAGATGGTCTCGAACCAGTTCCTCTCCTACAGTGTGCGCAAGGTCTTCATTCTCACAGTCCCTGCATCTGCCTTCCAAGACTTGGGTGGTGTGGTCAGAGCCTTTGCCAGTGAAGACCGAGGCAAAGAAGTCATTCAGAACCTCAGCCTTCTCCAAATCCTGTGCAGCCAGTTCTCCCGAGAGCTTCCTGAGGGGGCCTACGTTCTCCCTAGTCTGTTTTTTATTTGCTATGTACCTGTAGAATCCCTTCCTGTTATCTTTGATACCTCTAGCTAAGTTTAATTCTAACTGGGCCTTAGCTTTCCTAACCTGGTCCCTAGCTTCTCGGACAACATCCCTGTATTCTTCCCATGCCACCTGTCCTTGCTTCCACTTATTATAAGCCTCTTTTTTCAATTGAATTTTCCTCAGCAGCTCCTTATCCATCCAAGGAGGTCTCCTGGCCCTCCTGCTGCACTTCCTTCTGGTTGGGATGCAACACTCCTGAGCTTGCCACAGGTGATCCTTGAATATCAACCAAGAGTCTTGGGCCCCTCTGCCCTCTAGGGCTGTATCCCATGGAACTTTCCAAAGCAGGCTCCTGAAGAGGCCAAAGTCTGCTCTCTTGAAGTCCAGGGCAGTGAGCTTGCTGCACGCTCTTCTCACTGTCCTCAGGATCTCAAATTCGAGCATCTCATGATCGCTGCATCCAAGGCTGCCCTGGAGCGTCACATTTCCAACGAGCCCTTCCCTGTTCGTGAGCATGAGGTCAAGCACGGCACCTCTCCTTGTCGGCTCCTCTATTACTTGCAGAAGGAAGTTGTCTTCTACACAATCGAGGAACCTCCTGGATTGCTTATGCCGGGCCCTACCGTCCTTCCAACAGATGCCAGGGTGGTTGAAGTCACCCATGAGAACAAGGGCCTGCAAGCGTGACGCTTTTCCTATCTGTCTATGGACTGCTTCATCCGCAGGTTCTCCTTGATCAGGCGGTCTGTAACAGATGCCCACAGTAATGTCTCCCATAGCTATATTCCCTTTAACCCTGACCCACAAACTCTCTGTGGACTGCTCACCTGTCTTGCAGATCAGCCTTCGTTCAGTTTACTGAAGCTAGAAGACCTGGTGCTTGTGCTGAAGGATTACAGTCCTTCCTAGGTTTCTTACTACTGTACTGAGGCAGGAGAGCAGGTACATCTTGTGCTGGTGCCACCAGCTGCAGCACAACTGTTACAGAAATTCTGGTTGATTTTTTTAACTCAGATGAGCAATTACCTACTGGGTATCACACTAGGTCTTTCCAGCCCTGTCTTTTAGCTTCAAAAGGTGCAATGCTAGATAAATAGAGCTAAAGATGTTTTCCTTTTCATGTAAATTCTTGCAAGTTTTGTCTCTCTGGGCGGATATCAGAGGACAGTATTAAGGTGTATATGTAGAGACACGAGCATATAATTTATTACTTCTTTAGCAAGATGTCCTGGGTTCAGCAGTAGCAGTCATTTTTCTCCTTCTTGGTAGCTGGTGCAGTGCAGTGTTTTGACTTTCAGCTCGGGAACAGAGCTGATAGTGATGTTTTGGTTTGGCCAAGGACTTTGTGAGCCTCATGCTCTGCCAGGGAGGAGGGGAAGCCAGGAGGAAGCAGAGACAGGACACCTGACCCAAACTGACCAAAGAGGTATTCCATACCACAGCACGTCATGCCCAGGATGTAACTGGGAGTTAGCCGGAAGGGCTGGGAGACTGCAGGGTTGGAGGAGGTATCGGTCGGAGCTTGGTCGGGCTTGGGGGGCGAGTTATCGGTTGGCTGGTGCTGAGGTGTTGTATTCTCTTCCCTTGTTATTTCCTTTATCATTATTATCATTGGTGGTAGCAGTAGTGATTTGTGTTATACCTTAGTTACTAAACTGTTCTTATCTCAACCCGTGGGAGTTGCATTCTTTTCAATTCTCCTCTCCATCCCTCCGAGAGCAGGGGGAGGGCAAGAAAGGGGGGGTAAGTGAGCAAACGAGTTACCTGACTGGGTTTAAACCACGACAGTTCTTTTTGGCACCCAACGTGGGGCTCGAAGGGTTGAGATAACGACAGATCTGACCGGACTAATAGTCACTCATCACAATGACGATTTATTGGCTCTCAGAGTTGTTTCTCTTGATCTCACAGCTTCAGACCGTTGTAACTTACTTAGAGCCGGTATTTGCTGTGTTAGTGTTTATCAAGTGTGGGGCTTGGGCTAAGGTTCTTGTCTCACTGTGCTTTATAGCAACGGCTTGTAATACGGGCGGGCTCCAGCAGCAGGGCGGGACGGACGTGGCCGTGGACTTGTACCTGGGCGTCCGGCTGCTCTTCACCGTCCTGGCCCTCACCCTACCCTCCATCTTCGTGAGGCTGCGGGGAGCCGAGGGGGAGCGGCCCCGGGAGCCGGCGGCAGCCGAAGCGGCTCAGGAGAGCGGCCCCAGGGACCAAGCGGCGGCGGGAGCGGGGCCGGAGGCCGCGCGGGGACGGCTGCCGGTGGAGGAGGTCGGGGCGGTCGAGGAGCAGAAGGAAGCGGCTGCCGAGCAGACGGAGAAGGCGGTGGAGGAGCCGAGCCCCGCGGCCGAGCCGAGCCCGGTGGCCGAGCCCAGCCCCGCGGAGGAGCCGAGCCCCGCGACGGCCGAGAGCATTCCCCGGAAGCCGCCCGCCGAGCCCCAGGAGGATGCAGGAGACCACGCAGCACTTCCCAGCAAGGCAGAGGAGGAAGAGCTGGACTCAGGAAAAGAGAAGCTGGTGGTGGGAGAGCCGGCAAGCACAGCAGCTACACCAGCCCCAGTGACAAGTACAGCAGCATCAACTGAGAGTTCTGAGGGTTTTGAACGGCCTTTGGGTACCCTTGGGACCTGCCTGCTGATTGTGATGGGGATCAGCATGTTGGCACACACACAGACTGTGTTCTACCCACAACCATTTTGTCTGATCTCAGAAGTTAAGCAGAGTCAGGTTTGGGTCTTGTCTGGGGTTAGACAAGGATGTAGGAGGACCAGGAGATTTTCCCCAAGCCTGGACAGTCATGAGTGGCAGGGTGGTGTGACAGTATGGGCAAGTATCTAGTCCACTGGGCCCCTCCAGTGCTTTGGAAGCGTCAGAGATGGAAGGCAGCTGTATGGAGTCCCCAGCAACAAGCTGCAGAAACTGCTTAAGGGGACAGTGAATTATTTTAAGCCTGGTGGGCCCATGGCACTTCAGGCCATCAGAGCAGAGATGCAACACAGAGATGGACTCATGATCGAGGGGTGGACTTAGCAATGGACACTATTGCCCAGATTATTCACGAGTGTGAACACTGCACACAGTCTCTCCTGCTCTGGAAGACTGTTACAAGAGATGGAGCCTGACATGGACCAGATGGACTCAGCAGCTTTATAGGGACTGGTCCATGCACTAAGATAAGAGTGCACTGAGATAAGAGTGATGGTATATTGAAAATGTGGGATCTGAGCATGATGTGAATGGTATGGAATAAGGGGTGGATAATGTCCTGGGTTCAGCAGTAGCAGTCATTTTTCTCCTTCTTGGTAGCTGGTGCAGTGCAGTGTTTTGACTTTCAGCTCGGGAACAGAGCTGATAGTGATGTTTTGGTTTGGCCAAGGACTTTGTGAGCCTCATGCTCTGCCAGGGAGGAGGGGAAGCCAGGAGGAAGCAGAGACAGGACACCTGACCCAAACTGACCAAAGAGGTATTCCATACCACAGCACGTCATGCCCAGGATGTAACTGGGAGTTAGCCGGAAGGGCTGGGAGACTGCAGGGTTGGAGGAGGTATCGGTCGGAGTGTGGTCGGGCTTGGGGGGCGAGTTATCGGTCGGCTGGTGCTGAGGTGTTGTATTCTCTTCCCTTGTTATTTCCTTTATCATTATTATCATTGGTGGTAGCAGTAGTGATTTGTGTTATACCTTAGTTACTAAACTGTTCTTATCTCAACCCGTGGGAGTTGCATTCTTTTCAATTCTCCTCTCCATCCCTCCGAGAGCAGGGGGAGGGCAAGAAAGGGGGGGTAAGTGAGCGAACGAGTTACCTGACTGGGTTTAAACCACGACACAAGACCATGAACCTTTAGCAAGGATATCAGAAAGCCAGCATAATGAGCTGCAACAAAGGAGGAGAACTGGTTATTACAATAATATAGTTTTATTTTGGGTGGAAACAGACTGTTTCTATCATTCTCTAAACTAGTCAAAGAGCAATAAATGAATTTGTTACCAAAAATCAGAAAATCCAAAATATTTGATCAAGTCTAGTTTGTTTTCTCTTATTGGGAACCTGCTAAGTGAACACCCAGAACAACATACATGCATAGTAGGCTTCCGTGCAGTTTGAATTCCAGCTATATGTTATTTGTCCAGTACCCAGGGTGCCACACAGAATTTAAGGAACATATTACAATTAATTATATCATGTTGGAATAAATAATTTCCTAAATATACACTCTGTCATGGTGGCCGCTGATAAGGAATTTAATTCAAAACTCAGCTCTTGGCTTCTGAAAAATCAGCTTTAACTAAATGGTCGCAGTCATTACACGTTGTAAAGCCTCTATATTTCACACTTCATTTTCTAGCCAAATGGATGACAGCCCACTTCAAAGCGAAAGTAGTAAACCTGTGGTCAGAGTGTTCACCTGAACAGCATGCTCTCCCTGGATCCCATGTCTGGCAGTTGCACACATTTTGAATTCCTGCAGTCTTGCAATTTAATTGGTCAAAAATCAAAGGATGTCCAGTTGAACTGTACACCCTTATAACAGGGTCAGAGATTGGGAGATATTGTTTGATGCTCCACCTTTCCTGACATTTCACTGTTGCACAAAAATGGGAAAGATGTTTCAGTGAGCTTCCCAGAATAAAAATATTAACCCTAAGTGTTCCAAAGTTGTGAATGTGATGTTTATATGGAAGAGAGTTTTAGAGATCTACTTGTATACATACTAGAGGCTATACTACAAGAAGAGAAGATAAATTTGTACCTTGTCGTAGTCTGTAACATCAACCCAAGTACTCAGATCCTCACTGAGCCCATGTGAATGCTGTCAGAGTGTCCGGTAGGGCTTTGTCATGGAATACAATATGGTAAGCATACAGATATTTCAAACTCTAGTGGCAGGATCTACATGACCCTCAACATTTCATGACCAGTTATTTTCTTTGCTGCACACACCTCCATAGGAAGTGGTCTCTGAGTACTTCCTTTGATTTTATTTTCTTTTTAATATATATGTCTTTTTATGTTGAGATTTTTGAGGGAAATACTCAAGTATGGAAGGTAGGAAGTGTTCGAAAGAAGACTGAAAATAGTGTTAGTATGAATCTGAATGGAAAATTAAGGTTTGTTACTGCCAGAAGGATTACTACCTAATTACTTTGGACAGTTTGTGTAAGTCACATCTGTTAAAACAGAAGCATACCTGTGCTGGTATACACGGGCAAAGTGAAGTTGGTGTAGCTGAAGACAGGGGTTCCCAACTCTCTCCTCCTTGCTCTCTTTTTTTTCCATGCTTACTCCCTTGAGCAGTGGCAGTGCCACAGCTAGTCTAGAGTGAGCAAAAGGCAGTCATCAAGTCATGCTGAGGTTTAAATGAACACTGAGTTTTGCCCCACCTTCCTGCTGCTTTTACTGATCCTATCTACTGAGAGGGAATGCAGTAGGAGATTTTTGTCGGTGGTGATATTGTAATCAAGGCTGTGCTGTCTGGGGCCACAGTGTCTAAGTTATGGTGTGTGTGATCAGTAAATAGTGAATTGGCAGGAGAACTGAGAGCTGAAACTTTGTGGCAGTTGGCTGTGTACTGCTGTTTCACCAAATGTCCCATTTCACAGTATGGTGTTGGCCTGCCTTCATTTCAGTTGGTACAGTATTTGTGTCAACACACATAGTGTACAGCTCATAGTAAGGAAAATGCTGTATTGCTGTGGGAACTATGTATAATGGCTATATAAATTGAATTTCAATGGGGACAAAAAATCTCTATTCATTTCTACATTTATTAGGGTTTTTTTTCTTTTCCTGAATCAAACCCGCATTTTGGAGCTGTGTCACAACTGGTAACAGCGTTCTCTGTGGGCCTTAATGTCATGTGCAAGTAAAAAGGACACTGTCACTGTTTATCTGGCCAGAGATTGATAGTTCAATACCTTTGGACTTGGCTAGGCAGGGAGGATGCAGGAATTTTTAAACTGTTTCCGTCACAGAACTGATTTGAGCTGGTTATTGGTAACACTGATCATATGTAAATGCCTGCTTTTAAAATCACTTGTGTTCACAGAGGAACCGTCTGCTTCCCTTTCTGAAAAAACAATTAAAAAAAACCCAAACACCCAAGAAGAGGAGAATCATCCAGGTAATCAGGGGAAGATGGTTATGCTAGAAATTATAAATACTGAAGACTCTTAGTCATTGCTCATACCAAAAGCAGTAACAGACATTGTTTTTTGAGTATGTACAGGAACTGGCCACTCAATTACTTTTCTACTCATATTTATAGTCCCTCTCCTTTACTCCTTGTTCAGACTGTTCATGAAAAATCTGAAGGGTTACACAGTAGCAGGTGCTGGATATTCCTTTATTTCTTTATTTTTCAGGTCTGTGCCCAGTGCTTGGTCCTTCTGAATTTATAACCATGCTGCTTAGTATAGCTTTCACATATCTAACCAACCACGGGGTGGGGAGTGCATTCCTCTCATGCTCTTCCCCTTTCTACTAGCTCCCCATTTCACAAACAGGTACTGAAACCTAGCTTGGCACAATATCATTATTCTGTAGCAGGTGTCAGTTGGGAGTTTTTATATTTGAGGATCCCTTGACCTTTCTTCTGGGCACACGTATGGTGTGTTAATGATGAACAATGTCCACACATCAGCACTAATTCAAACTTGAGCTCTTCCAGAGTTTGAAATATGCATGGGTAAAGTCTGTGCAGATGGTCCTGAATTTTAATATATAAAAGTCCCAGTAAAACCAAGTTAACTTTAAAAATTCTGCAATAAATCACAAAAAGCTGAATATGATCCTCTGGATATCTTAATTAGATGAATTTCTTTCACTTAATCAGACATTCAAAGTCAAAGGGACAAAAGACACTGCCTTTCTTAGACGCTAAGGCCTGAATAATGTCTCAGTGGTCAGAAGAGTTGATTAAATTACTTACTGTCGCTCACATTTATATTTTATTGTATTCTTTTTCTGAATAATAACTTGAACATCAGTGTTTCCATTTTTTTCATCAGTCACAATCAAGAATATTTCCAACAGCTTTATTTTTGGGTTTCTTGCTGCCACACAAGGATTTGGCATCATGTACTTCTACGTAAAAATATTTAAGGATTGGTTAGTTTGCAAGCTGAACTTTGAAGACAGGAAATAGCAGAATCAAGCTTATCCACATAAGTCACTTTTGTAGGTATCTCTGGTAGGAATTACCGGTAGTAAGAAGGGCAGATGTGAGGACATGGGGTGTCCTCTGGGCATTGGATCCACTGTGTGTTGTTCAGAGCTCAGACCCATGAGTGCCCAAGCTTACTCAGAGCACAATGGAGGCCTTTGGACTTAAGCAACCGGACACCCAAGGACTCCTATTTAGCACATGGAGGTGGCACTTTTAAGAAACTTCATGTATGTCTAAATTAAGAGGAATTTAATAAGTGTCTGTCTGTTTCAGGCTTATCTCTGAGCTGAATTCCCATGCTGCTTCTCCAGATCTTCCAAATGTTCAATATTGTTTTAAAAAAGAAGTTTGTGCTGGCAATCTCTGCAGATTTTTCTGGCCTTACTGAAAACAGCTGTGACATTTTTGCTGAAGTGGGATGTC